TTCTTCATTACCCATTCAAGCCGTCTCCAGCCATTATCAGTGTTTTATCATTAGTACATTCATTTGTAAGTTTTCAATTTTATTGCTGTTAACAATTCTATTAGTATTAGTAATAATAGTATTCGTATTACAAATATAATTTACAAAGTACCAATTCCAACGCCACACGGCACTGGTAATGGTATTATGTATGGTGACAATGATTTGAATAAATTGATATAATGTACGGACAACAGGAGACCATTTGGTCTTTAGTTTCAGTTTATCCTTGCACATCCATCCTTGAAATTGAACAAATTTAAAAAATAAAAATTTAGACATATCCTTTATTTCTCAACAAATCACCGATCCCCCCTCCCCCATCTTAGGTTAAACTCAACTCCTGTAATACTAACAGTGTAAACTTTAAATTACTGACTTCCAGTATGCTATTGATCCACAGATAATATTGTAAACTTCAATAAGATCACCTCTTACCTTTATTTATCATTCCAGGATTTATCCTTGAACTGGTACAGTGGTAGTTGCCTTCTGAAACTTTTCTTTTAAGGTGATGTATTTTCTTGGATAAAAAGAATAAAACTCCATTTAGTATTCTAAATGAAGCATAACTAATGATTTAAAAAAAATAGTTACTTCTTTCCACTTTTAATCAATAAGTTTATAGTATTAGTACACCATAAAATTCTGTTAGCCTTACTACAATGACAGAGCAGTGCTTTGTTGGCTTATCCACTGCTATGCCAAGGTCCTTTTCCTTATTCATGCTGTTGAGTGGGTTCCACTCTATATTAAATGTGACCCAGTGTACAGTACACCAAATGCAAATCTTTGCATTTACCATAATTAAAGGTTATTTGTCAGATATTTCTCCATTTTAATAATTGACCTAAGTCATTATGTAATACCCCAACATCCTCAATACAACTAGAAATACTCAAGTGTTTAATGTAATCAGGAACTTAACTAATTTACTATGTCCCTATCAGTATCATTAATGTAAGTAAGAAAAAAGCAAAGATCCAAGTACTGATCCCTGAAGCACTTCATAGGTGACAGGGGTTCAGTTTGACTCTCTCCCATCCAACCACCCTCCAATTAAATTAACTAGACTTTCTTCATCTTCAAATTAATTTGGTTTTCATAACTAATATTTCATGTGGCACCTTATCAAAAGCTTTTCGAAATCTAAGTACATCAAGTCCACACCCTTTCCACCAGCCAAATAAGTAACATTCTTGAAAAGATAACAGTTTGTTAAGACAAAATTCCCTTTGTGAATCCATGTTTGCTTTCTTTTATGACATCATATTCTGCTAAATGATTTTGCAAAGCTTCATTTACAGACTCTCCAGAATTTTTCCCCACTACAGAATTAAGACAGACCGATAATTGCCATTATTATCACCCACTTTAAAAAGTAGGAATAACATTTGCAACTCTAGTGCTTAGGCGCATGCATATTGTCTATTGGTCATCAAAAATGAAGAAGAGAGAATCACGTATGTGATCACAGTATACAATTTCTTGTTTACGTTATCTGTCTGACCTTGTGTCCAATAACATTTGCAATTAAATAGTTCTCTACCCTTGAAGTTGTATTTGTAATCCTCATAAATTCAACCTTTTAGTTACCATTTCTCAGGTTTTCAATCCCAACAAGTTACAATTCATCTCTTGTATATAAAGTCACCTACCCCATCTTTCAAAAAGTGTATCATTATTAAATAACTGAACAACCCATAATTTCAAAACAATTCTTTTATCAGTGTTCCTCACATGTAATCAAGTTTCAGTTGCTCACATTATAATCAGTTTTACATTCAAACTTGTCTGTTTTTGTTCCAAATGCTCCTAATATTAGAATAATAGCAACTAAGCTGGAATATATGTTTATGTTTACAGTATATCTAACAGACTTATCTTTAAAACTATTGTTTAACTTGTTATGCACAAAAAAGTCTAACTTACAAACAGCTCAAATATGTAGCTAGAGCTATTAGAATTATTATTTGAACCTTAGTGTTTAAACATTAAACAAGAATATATTGTACTCTTTTTCTTTTTTTTTTTTGTCTATACATAATTTATCTAACACATTAAACCTAAACATAACATTACCAAAAAAAGTTTTTTACTAGATTGCAGTTCGTCATTTGGTAATAACCAAAATGAGTTCAGAAGATGAAAATATCCCTGATGTGGAGACATGCCAGAAACTATGTGAAGAATTTGCTCGCGTAACTAATACAGATACAGCATGTGCTCAGTTCTACCTTCAGGATCGTGATTGGAATCTTCAGGTGATAATTTTAAACTGATAAATTACAGATTATAATAAATATCTGTTCAGTTATAAGGGACCAAATATGATTAAATAATAGTTATCATGTGTTTGAAACCAGTTGTTATAATTTTTATATATCTGCATACAGATCTTCAGGTATCAACATAATCTGAAATGCTCCACATTTTGGCATTTCACAGAGAAGGTCTTGGTTAATTTTGTTGGTTGTTTTTGTCAATAGCCCTATGAGCCCTATTGTGATTTCTTCAATACCATTTTTCAGGTTATTTTCATTGGTAGGCCTAAATTCACAAATAATATTACAACTGAAATTCCAAAACTAATGATATGCCTAACTCAAAAATATGACTCCAGTCATTTTCTTGCAAAATTTTCTCATATCTATGACACAAGTCATAACTGGCTGACACAATCGGTAATCAATTGATAACAGAGTAACAATTTCACTAGTTGACCGACTTTCGGACTAACAAACACAGTCACTATGGTGCTTTGTGCAATACTTATTTTCCTTGTACCTAACAACATTTGACACGTCACAAGATGCCTAGAATTTTATGAAACTTCTAGATGTCATGCCACAAATACCCTTTAGCAACCAAAATGTCTAAAATATTAAAGACATAGCTTACAACAATGCCACCTTCCTGGGTTAAGAAGACCCTTTAACAATCCTATTGCAGAAATAAGACAGTACACTAAACGTAAAGTTCCATAACTAGCAATGAAGCCAGTATTTACAATTAACAAAAATTAGTATTCATAAATAGACATTACAATCACTATTTGATCTGAGTGAAGTTCCATAGGCATCCAAAATCATGAAACAAATTAATTGACAAGTTTCCTTTTTAGAGTTTCTGCTTCCTGTTTTGGGCATTGAATGTTTCTGGCCTTTTGGTGAAATAGCCCATCAACACCATAATTCATTTATTCCCACTATTACCATATAACAGAATATCAAGCACATTGACAGCAACTCTCAAGTGGTGCTCCAGAAAAATACTGCTATATTTGCCCGTGTTGTTTCTTTTGTGGACCTTTTTACTCACAACATAGTTCACATGATTTACACTAATTCTCTACAAATCTCCTGCTCCAACCCAGTAGAAGCATTCTATTACTCTTCCTAGTATCTTTTTTTATACCAAAGTGCCCAGTTGTTGGAAGGTTGTGGAAATGAAAGAGTACTTCTGACTGAAGCAACTGGGAAAGTGCCAAATGTAGTTTCCATCCATATTTGATATAACAAGCCTTCTCATAGGCATAAGATAACCTGCTATTCCCAGTACATCTTTGTTTTGGGTTGTATAGATTGACAGTTTACTGTGAGGGTTGTTCTGCAGTATTCTTTATCCACCAAATAATTGGTTTCAGGCTCATTTTTTCTGTCTGAGCATCTTTCAGTTGAGTGTTGGACAACACTAGTTCATTTTCATAACTTGTGGATATCCCATCTTGGACTATACTCTTTTGTACTTTAGTTTGGTCATCTTTATTATCTTATGCTCAATGTTTCCTCTAAGCTGCACACATTCATGGCATCGCATCAATTAAGCAGGTACAGTCATCAAAAACAATGGGTCACTCATAAATTAGCCAGTTGGTAATACTTTCATGTGGAAGACACAAACCTACAACTTTGAACAATACCATGTACAAATGTAAGACAGGAATGAGTACAGGCATCAACAGTTGCTTAAAAAAAGTGCTCTTCAGCTTTTACAGAGGAGTGGATTTTGAAAATCATGGAACCAGAAAAGTAGTGCTCAGTTTGTGGTTTGCCCAATACAAAGAAAAATTAGAGGAAACGTTGGTTGTATTTACCTCTTTTTTTTTTACACTGTTTACATTCTTCAATAACCTCATGTGAAAGGTGTTGATGCATTGCACTGAACCCCACATATGTTATACATAATAATATTTGCTATAATTCCAAGTTTACTAAATGTATCTATGACTTTTGGTAAGCTTTTAGTGAACATTACATGTACGTTGTACACACAAAATTAAAGTATTTCTGGTAAAGATTTTTTTGTGTGAATTTCCTGAGTTATTGTTACTCAGATTCTAACTTGTCTGAGTGTAAGGTGATTTTCATGTTAAGAGTAAAAATACTTTTTTCAATTTACAGTTTTCATGTTTCATATACATAACCTGTAGGACCTCCTAAATAAATAACAAAAGTTATTTTGTGATAAAACTTTCTATTTTATTTCTTATATTCTCTACCATAACACTAACTGTAGTGAAATCATATCTAGCTAAGGTTGAAAAATATGAAATAAAATCAAAAGTACATTTTTTTTTCTATAATGACTGCAGATTGTAACCGACAATTACTTTTACTTGGATCAAATTATTATTTTGTTTACCACAATGAAAATTTTTTATTATTATGTTTGTTAACAAAAATACAAACAAACTGAAGAAAAGGGAAGAACATTCATGCCAAATTAATATATGCATCCTCATTCATCCTGATTTTATTTGTGAAATCTACATATTTTAGTCCAAAAACTACATGTTATGGTCATTCTTTTAGATATTGCATTATGACATCTTGTGAAAAATCAGTACATGATGGAGAAAAATGGATATCATTTTTAGATTCAGTGTACAGGAATTACTGTAGAACATGTAAAACCTTCAAGACAATAAAAACATTTCAGGCCTGTGTTATTTATCCTAAATAACTTCAGGCTTGTACAAGTTACATCTGTTTTTTTATTGTATTCTTTTATTGGTTTTAGAAACATGTCTATCTTGTGTTATAAAGCAATAAATCACCTGGTGAAAGCTGAGTGCAACTTACAGTGAACAAAGTATTGAATTATTCAAAAGAAATTGTTTTTGTTTAAATTTTTTTATCTAATCTATTAAGCTCCTAATTTATACAGTTTATTTGTTTTTATAACAATAAATACAAAATATACATTAAAATACAAGAAATTGAATACTTGTTCCTTAGCAGTGTAGATGAAACTTAAGCCTACTTTTTTTTGTAGCAGTATTAGTGATACATAAAATAGTTTTTATTATTTCAAATATGTGTTTAGAACACAAAATATTATCACACACAAAAAATTTAATGTCCTGAAATGACTAGAATTTACTCATTTTCTAACTAAGCTATAAATGGGTTAAAAAAATTCCATTATCTGGTTGAGCGGAACTACAATGATGGTAAACAATGAAACTGAAACTGAATTTTTCAAAACATGGTATTTGATGAGTTAGCCTCATCAACATTCACCAAATTAGATTATAAGTAATCCAATAGCAATTGTCAGAGAGAATTATTGACATTTTTTGAAATACAGGATGTGAAAGAAGAGGCATGAAATGTGGGTTTGACTTTCTTTTATATCTCAGAAAAGTAAAAACTTGGAGTCTATAAATTTACATTGTGGCTTAGAAATAACTGTAATATAAGTATGTAATTTGTACCAGACTCAGAAGATCATATAGAGACAAAGATTAAAATAAAAATAGACAATGTGGAGCAAAGAACTGTCGCATGATAAAATGCTGCATGACCTGTCAGGAGTGTAAACTTTTGGCCATATAAATAATGATGGAAATGACATAGAACCTCTTTTTGAGTTGTACAATACCTCCTTCCTGCAGCATTCATTGTTTTGCTATAGTGGACAATCATTATATTGGCATTTATATCTAATATGAGTGATTCTTCAAGAGCTGGTATGCTAATACAGGAGAATAGCAGTTAATTCTTTTCTAGTTTGTTGAATGCTTGTTCAGAATCAGCAGTGAAGTAAAACTTTTATGGTTTTTCAAATATTTGTGTAAAAGATGAGCTATGTAAGAAAATGATTTTACAGAGTGACAATAATAAGACCACATTCCAAGGAAAACTTTTACCTCATGAATAGTGTTGATTCTTTGATGTTGGTGAATTCTGAACAGACTAAATATTAGATGAGTCTGTAGACACTCCCTTTGAACTGACTATATGTCCCAGGAAACTCACCTATTGTTGGAACAATTAATGCTTCTTGGGATTCAGCATAGGGTTCTCTTTCTTCAAGTAGAACTCTTATTAGCCTTCACAAGCTTTAACAAAAGACTTCCCATGTGTAATTATGCCATTCAAATAGATGAGTATGACATTCTAGAGTTATCCAAAGAGAACACACTCCATTATTCATTAAAATGTATCAAGAGCATTAAATAATCCAAATGGCAACACAACAGATTACTACACCCATTTTCTGCAATAAAGGTTTTCTTTTCTGTCATTTATTTTATCATATACTCTTTATATCCAATGTTTAAGCTATTTTGATCCAGATAAAGCATTCAATGTACAATAAATCTTTGGAAGTGGATGGGTAAGCATCCTTCTTTGTGATTTCATTCACCTTCCAGTAGTCCATACACAACTTTGCAAGTCCATCCTTCTTATTTACAAGTACAAATAATATCCAAGAACTAGTACTTGGTTCTATTACTCCTTGTTCTTTCACAACTTCTATCTCTTTGAAAGCCTCAGCTGTCTGAAATATTAGGTCTGTGTCTCTGGTATCAATTTAATATTTTATTTGTCCAGTCTAAGCCATGAAATACATTGGAGAAGGTATTTTGGTATTCCATAAGCAAATCATGTGATCTGTAGCATTGATCAGTTGTAAGACCTCCATAGCTCTGGTCACACAACTTTTGTAAGTGAAGTAGTAAGCTGTTTTATGTAAGGATTTGACAACAGATTTACTACATATTTTTTCCAAAGTGACTACTTCTGGTGTCCTTTGTTGTGGAAGTACATTCTGTATAGCTTGACGTCTTGGTATGTTTCAGCTAGATTTGACTTGAATTTCATGGTTTGTTGAGTTTATGGCCCTAATGATGACATTCTTATACTTCAGATCCATAAGAGTTCTTGCAAACAGGACTTGCAGTAGTGTTTGGTTCTACTATACTCCAGTTATTAGATGTAAATTTAATCCTCATAAGTCCTGGTATGAGAATTTC